TGGAAATCAATGTTTTCTTCATTGGCATTGATTGTTTTGAAATTTAAATGTCATTACCATGCCTGTGTTTTTATTTCTGTAATAAATATGGCTGTAAAGCAGGATCTTGATGGTTTATTGTGGGTTTGTTGTTTACATGAAGAAATCTGTGTTACAAGTTAAACTAAATTCTAATAGACAATTATATTTTGAATTTAAATTGTTTTTATCTTGCTTTTACATTAATTTTACATTTGAATAGCCAAAATTACAAGTCTTTAAAATGTGATTAATCAGGAGTAATTTATTTTTTTAAAGTGTGATTAGTTATCTTTGTCTAGCAATGCCCCTGCTGAAAGCTCATTTTTTGGAGATATCAACTAGACAAATCTAGAATATATTTTTTCTGATATTTACCTTAGATTTTCTGTCAAATTTGGGCTAAAACATGTTTTGTGAAGTACATAATTAATGTAATATAATACAATATACACGTGCTGTACATTTGCTGTAACTTCATTTAACTTCAGCTACAATCCGACATCAGTCCTCTTAAAAATGAGACTCTGCACCAAAGCATTGAAGATCGCTAATCATTAAAACTGAACATGTCACTGTCATGTCTGTAACTGGGGGCGACAGTTTAATGTGTTAAAGGCGCATGTTAACAGCCGAAAAACTATAAATGTGTACCTCATAGTACCCTAAAGACACTCAATCATCCCTTTACTGTGTGAATAAGCAGCAGTATGGTTCAAAAGTGCTAGTGCAGAAAAGGATGAGCGTGATGACAGGATTTGTATCAGAGAGTGTAGGATGAAGAGTTCCTGAGGATGAAGAGATCATGGGCTAATCTTCATTTCTGTGTGAACTGCCCCTCTAAAAGAGCTGTTTGTGGAGGAAGAGGAGATCACTGCGGCATCTCACACACACTCGCCAAGGGAAAAATCACACACACACACACACACACACACACACACTAATCAGAAAGCGCGCACACACACTCATAATAATCAGAACGCGCGCACACACAGGGGTCAAAGAGCAGAAGAGGACACAGACATGCTGGACTTTGTGTGTGTGTGTGTGTGTGTGTGTGTGTGTGTGTGTGTGTGTGTGTTATATTATTGTATTATTTATTCCTCATGTTCGTTCGACACCCACACACAGTTCAGAGAGTAAAACTCCTTCAAGAGTAGAAGTAAAATCTAATTTCACTCACACTCACACTCACTAGTTTCAACAAAACAAACTTTCTGTCCCTGCAAGCTTGATTTTTAACGTTTGATATTAAAACACCTGCTCTGAGAACAGAACATGTTTTAATAAATGCACAATATGCAATGATATATTACATTCAATTATCCAAAAAGCACTAGAACAGTTGCACTGAGATTAACCCTGATCTCTTAGTAATAAAGAAGAAACACATTTAAACCCGGAGAAATAAGCGAATATTATTAGCCTCCTGTGATATTTTAAGTATTTTTCCAAATATAAAATCCCGAGTGCTGTTCTTCAACATGTTTATTGCATATTTCGGTCCCACTTTATATTAAGTTGCCTTAACTAATATGTACTTACATAGGAATTAATAGTTTGTTAGGATGTACTTATTGTGTAAATACATGTCTTTATTGTGTACTTATGTTCAAATAAATACCTGTATGTAATTACATCTGTAATTAACTTCTGTATTTACATTTGTAAATACACTGTTGACCATCCCTTACACCTTAACCCACCCTTAAACCTACCCATACCAGCAAACCTGTCCATAACCCAACCCCTATCCCAACTCAAGAGCACCACAAGTGTCCTCAAATACATTATGAACACAGTAAGCACATTGTATTTATTTTCTGATGCAAGTACATAGTAGTTAAGGACACTTAATATAAAGTGGGACCCATATTTTTAATATAGTTTAAACAATTAATAATGTTACGGTATAGAACGTATTAAATATTTGTTCATTCATTTTATATATATGAGCAATTCCAGCGTTATGGATGTGACATTTGCAGTAAAAACTCAACACATAAATTGACAGAGAAAGTATATGTTAACATTATATTGAAAAATTTGATTATATTTTCTAGAGCAACTAGCCACAGAGTTATGGGAGCAGAAAAATATCAATCAGTAAACGTGTTTTGTACTTTAAATGAGGAAAATAAGCATGCGTTATGGATGTGACAAAAAAAGTCTGCCAGTTTACAGTATACAACACACTTTGTAGAAATTCTGTGAATTAAACTGCACAACCCCAAAAGAAATAATGCTAATCAAAAGGATTAGAGTCGGCTTTCTATAAAACAAAAATTATTGGTTTTATTTTATTTAATATTTTCACATTTCTGAGGAAAAAGTGTTGTTATGGATGTGACGCATGTAAAATTACCATTTGTGTTACTTTAGTAAATCAAATAGAATAGTTTGAAAACATGAACAGATGCTTTTTGAGTATTTTTAAAGTACTGCTTACACAAAAAACCCAGAAATGGTTTCTGTATTTTGGTAAAAACTAAATTTTTTTTCATGGCAAGGTTGACATTTGCACAGAATTGCTCATATATATATCATTTGGAGCTGATGTGGTGCAGGTCTCTCTCTCTCTCTCTAGAGCTGCGCTTGATTGCAGTGCAGCTGTGTTGCGAGTGGGAGCGTATATAAGCTGGAGGAGAGGAACAAAGGACGGATCTTTCTGCTCGGTGACGGTTGCAAATCTCCGTCGTCGTCGTCATTGTTGCCGCCGCTGTTGTTCCGAGCGTTTCCTATCTCCTGCCCCAGACTGTTGGTTGACTTACTGGTGTGATTGATTGATTTCTGTAGCTGACAGTTTAATTCTTTTGTAAAGTGCTCTCCGTTAGATCCGAGCCTTTTCACTTATTAAATATCTGTATTATTTTGGTTTTAAATAGAAGCGGTAGGTTGGGAATAGCCCAATGACTGTAAAAAATATGGACGACGCGACAGCCCTTTTTCCCATTGAACGCCTTGAGGGCAAAACGCCTGCTTGACGGGAACAAACTGTCGCAAAAGACTGCTGAAATTGGAGCCTTGACATGCGCAGAAGGATTGTCTGATGGAGCCAGAGGAGGAGCCGCGATAATGAGCGGAGTCGAGCTTCCAATCAAACGCTTTATGTAAAATCAACCACGCCCCCCGAACTTCTCAGCATGCGTTTGCTGTCATATCAACACAAATGGATGTAATAACGTTAACAAATATGAGGGTTTTATATATTCAATCGCGCCAGCTCCAGGCCGCAGCGCATAACCTACTCGCGGCGTCGCGGGCTGATTCCGGCTCGCATGCGGCAGCGCCGGCTCGCTCGGCCACCGCATCTGGCTCGATTGACTCGGGCAGGAATCGGGCAGTGAGTCCAGGCATCCGGAGTAGGTCCAGCAGAGGTAGTCAGTCTGAGCTCTGAGGGGTAAGTCTCCGGCAGGCGAGAATCTAGCCGGAACTGTGTTTTGCTATCTGGGTGGTTAGGCGTGTATCAGCAAACTAATAAAGCCCGAAAAAAGCCCTAACCTTAGCGAATAAACAGTGTTCCACCAGGATCATGTATGTCAGAAACTATAGTTTACGGCTGAACTCATTTTGTCATGGTAAAATAACACAGAAATCGAATAATAACACTTCAGTCTTCTGCCGAAGCTCAGACGCGCTGCTTTGAGAAACTGTTAATCACAGCTGTCAATCACGATGACACGCCCAGCATTAAATTACTGCTAAAAACAAACTGTTTACAAAAATGAAGATCTGCACCTATTTCAGCACAATAACCAGTGCCTTAATCCACCAGAACCATCTTTCGGGACATTTTATTGCAAGTGTAATTAATTTTTTTTATTTGGGCTCAAGTCTCCTTCATTAACACGGAGGAGGAGGGCTTTATGACTTGTACTGCAGCCAGCCCCCAGGGGGCGATCTACCGGCCGAGACCTTCACTCAAACGCAGGCTTGCGGCACACTTGGAATAGCCATTTACTTTAAATGTTTTCTCCTGGTTTGTGGCAGCGAGGGAGAAAGCGAAGCTTGCTGTAATTTTATTTGGGCTACTTTTTATTTGAGCAGGTGAGTTATTAATATTTCCCCGCAGGTCAGATATCTTTTTGTTTATTATTTTGGCCTGGAATCCCTTTCCAGGAGATGCTTCTAATGTCTTTGTTGTCTAAGAAGATAATAAAGCTTGTTACTTCTTGATAAACGTTGTGATCATTGTGAGCTGGGAAAAACCCTAAATTGAGTATTTAAGTTTAATTCATTTATTTATTGACACTCTTGATATTGTTCACATCAACCCTAGACTGGCCGGGACGTAACTATAATCACAAACATATTAAACCAAACTATCAGATGATGGCATTTTAACAAATGCTAACGAGATGAATAATATTAATATGAATAAATAAACTGAAAAACAAATGAATAAATTAAATAGAAAAACCACTAAATTATTATTTTCAGCACATTCCCATACACTTAATAACAAATCTCTAATCACTGATGTCTTTCCTCTTCGTCATGATGACAGTAAATAATATTAGGCTAGATATTCTTCAAGACACTTCTATACAGCTTAAAGTGACATGTAAAGGCTTCACTAGGGTAATTAGGGTAAAGTTAGGGTAATTAGGCAAGTCATTGTAGAACAGTGGTTTATTCTGGAGACAATCCAACACTAATATTGCTGAAGGAGCTAATAATATTGAGCTTAACATGACTTTAACACTATTAAGAACTGCTTTTATTCTAGCCCAAATTAAACAAATCAGACTTTCTCCAGAAGAACACATGTTAGAGGAAATACTGTGAACAACTCCTGAATCTGTTCAACATCATCTGAGAAATATTTATAAACAATAGTCCTGACGTCAGCTGTGTGTGGCCTCTGTGTTGTGTGTTTGTGTGTGGGGATGTATATAGTGCAGATACACCAGACACCATCCTGCAGTGATGATGATGATGGAGTAAACTCGACTCAACTCAAATGCGTATGCAGCACTTACTGTTGTTGGACTTGAGGTCTCGGTGTATGACCGGTACGATGGCCTCGCTGTGCAGGTACAGCATCCCTCTGGCGATCTGCACGGCCCAGTTGACCAACACATGTGGAGGGATCCTCCTGCCGGCCAGCGCTCGGCTCAGGGCCCCGCCGGACGCGTACTCCATGATCAGACACAGGTTGGGCTCCTGCAGACAGACGCCCTTCAGGCTGATGATGTTGGGGTGCTGCAGCATGGCGAACAGGCGGGCTTCGTTCTGGACGTTCTGCGCAGTCACGCTGATGTCCTCGTCTGGATCCTGACGGGCTGCTTTCACCGCCACTAGCTCGCCTCGCCAGGTCCCACGGTAAACCTTCCCGAAACCCCCGACCCCGATCACCTCCTGCAGGCTGAGCTCGCAGAACTCCACCGGCTGCGGCTCCAGAGCGCTGACCACCGGCGGGGCCACCACACCGGACTTGCCATAACCACTGCGGAACGAGAGAGCGGAGATTAAATATATATATTATATATATATATATATATATATACATTAACTGACGTTACAAATAACAGTAATAACAGTAGATGGCGCTTTTACAACTAACAAACTAAAATAAAACGTAGGCATGCAAAATAGACGAAAAACTAAAGCTAAACAAAGCTAGCTAACACTAACTGTAATTCACTGGCTCTGGCTCCAGACCAGCTTGAAATTAGTAAACTAACCATAAAACTATTGGTCAAAAAACTAATTTGAAATAGTTTTAAAATAAAAAAAAAGAAAACAATTTTAAAAATAGCATCGAAATAAAAACTAGACGGCTGTATATATAGGAGCACCAGTAGATGGCGCTTTTACAGACAAATGCTCATGATTATAGTTAATAACTGGAATAAAATGTAAGAATTCTGAATAAACTAAAAACTAAAACAAAACAGTCACTGAAAAACTAACTAACGTAAACTAATAATTAGTAAAGATTATGAATTATTAAGCATAATCATTCATCTGACCTGCGGCTAACCTGAAATGAACTGTAGTTTAGTAAACTAAAACAGCAAACTATAACAACCTTATTCTGGTGCAAATTTATTTTAGTAAATAAAAACTAAGGCTGTGTCCGAAACCTCCTACCACTCAGTTGGTACTGCATTTGAATTTAAACCTACTACTCGGCCTATGGAAAAGTATGTTCTATACAGTATGAATGTATGTGCCATTTTGTCATGGTCATGTGACCTATCTGCGCCAGTTGCGTCGCTTCACTCACATTTATAAATTCTCTCGTAGGGCATCATGTGATAGCGCAACGTGCATCGTATGTGCACTTCAGAATTCAGGAAGTAGTAGGTCATCCGGGTACTTCTCGCATACTGATTTTTGAATTCAATAAATTCGGACATACTACTCGACTCGCATACTTATTTTAGTGTACTGTATAGTATGAAAGTATGCGGTTTCGGACACAGCCTAAAACTATAGGTAAGAAATTTTTGTTAACTGAAATACAAAAAAAAATAAATCACAATCACAATAAATGAAAAATGAACAAACCAAACAACAGTCACAGAACAACTGAACTAAAAACAACAAAATAAAACTAAATCAAAATGAACAGCAAATTTAAAAATAGCATCAAAATGAAAACTAATTTAAAACAAAACTTTAATAACATTAGTCTGTAGCGAAGATATTTAGTAAATCAAAACTAAAACTATTGATCAAAAAATGGTTTTCGTTTGCAAATAAGATAAATTCCCGATAAATGAAAAACTAAACGAAACTAATAAGTCAACTAAAATAAAAACTAAAAAAACTGTTCAAATTGAAACAAATTAAATTTAAAAAAAATACAATAAAAACGAATGAAGAACACGAAACCATAATAATCTCAGTGTGGAGCAAAGTTATTTAGTAAAAAACATTTTCACTAACTAAAATAAAATGAAAAATTCACGATAAATGAAAAACTAAACAAAACTAACAACATTCCCAAAAAACTAAACAAAACTAAAAACAAACAAAACAATTATTGAAACAAACTAAACCAAAATAAAGAGCAAATTTAAAAATAGTATCAAAATAAATAGCAATTTAAAACATAAAAATATACTAACCTTAGTCTGGAGTGAACTATTTAGTGAATGAAAACTAATACTAATGGTCAAACAAACATTTTCTTTAACAAATGAAAAACAAAAGTTTCACACTAAATGAAAAACTGAACAAAACAGTCACTGAAAAACCAAACTAAAAACTAACAAAGCAGTTAACGAATCAAACTAAAACTAAACGAAATGAACAGTAAATTTCAAAATAAAAACTTTTAAACTATTTAAAACATAAAACTATAATTACCTTCGTCTGTAGTGATAGCATTTTGTAAACTAAAACTATTGTCAAAAACATTTTCGTTAACTGAAATTAAATTTTTAAAATTCACATTAAATGAAAAACTAAACAAAACTAACAAAACCCATTTAAAATAGCACCAAATAAAAAAACTAATTTGAAACTATTAATAACCTTAGTCTGGAGCGAAGATATTTAGTAAACAAAAACAAAAAACATTTTCGTAAAAAAAAAAAAAAAATTTCAAACTAAAGTCAAACTAAAACTAAATGAACAAAATATTTTAAAACTAAAAGAACAAAATGAACAGCCAATTTAAAAACAATATCAAAATAAACACTCATTTAAAATGTAAAACTATAATAACCTTCGTCTGGAGCGAAGGTTTAACTAGTAAACTAAAACTATAGGTCAAAATACATTTTCGTTAACTGAAATAAAATTAAGAAATTCACGATTAATAAAAATCTAAACAAAACTAATAAAACCAATAACAAAATGAACTAAAACTAAAGCGAAATGAACAGCAAATTTAAAAAAATAGCATCGAATATAAGCATGGGACGATAAGTGGTTCCAAGGTTTACCGTGGTTTGGAAGTCAATGTTTTAAAACTGTTCAAATGAATTAGATACGGTGATATCTGTATAAGGTTATCATACCGTCAGAATCCTTTACCGGCCCATGCCTACTCTAAATAAAAATATATGTAAAATGCTAAACGTAAACGATGATCACCTTGGTTTGAAGGACACATAGTTGGAGGGAAAGATTCCCACTTTGTTGTTGACCTTCCCGGCCCACCATCCCTCATCCCCGGAGATCTCCGAGTCTAGCGACAAAACCTCCACCAGGTCTCCTTTCCTCAGGGTGAGTTCGTCCTTCCCCGCGGCCTCATAATCGAACAGAGCGGTCCACACGGGATTGCTGAAACTCCCCTTCTGAGTCTGCTGGTCCAGGTTCTTCCACAGCGTCCCGCGGGAGAAGATATTCTTCAGCGGCTCCATTGGACTTACAATCCAAGACCGAAGTGGGATAAACGTGGATACGTAAATGGGGACGTCACGACCCCTCTCGCCCTCAAATCTCCGTTCGTCCCAATCATCGGTGAATGCGTCTCCATCAGACGTCAATCCCTACAGGCGCAAACGAGTGGGAATGACACTCCGAGGTACAACTCAGTGATTGGCGATCAATTAAAGAACGTTTTTTCCTCCATAGTACATCAATTACGAATATTGTACAAGTTCAGAACTAGCGTATAGACAGATCTCAAAAAGGAGATCCCAATTTCCCAAAAATACACACAAAAGATTGGAATGATTCAAATGGAGGCTCCGACGTACAATTTATTGACCACAACTCAATCAAGGGGTGTTCTTTACTGCGTACTCCATTTATAAACGTCGTCAACTTTGGAATCAACGTATAGTTGGATCTTAAATTCCTTAAACACACACACACAAAGATTGGAAAAAGTGTTATAGGATACTTTAAGCTACAATTTCATTAGGGGTGGTCAAATAAGGTTAGTTTCGTCTTGCGTATTCCATTTATAAATGTCGTAACGTTCAAAACGAGCACAGATACGCACAATAAGATTGGAATTGATTGAATGGATGCTCAGAAGTGGAATTTAGTAGCGTAAAGTCAATCGAGCAGCGTTTTTTCCTGTGTACTCCATTTATAAATGCCGTAAAGTTCTGAATAAACGATGATTCGCAAATTCCCAAAAGGAGCACAGATACACACAATGAGAATGGAATTGATTGAATGGACGCTCAGTACAATTTACTGACGTAAAGTCAATCGAGGAACGTTTTTTTCTGCGTATTCCATTTATAAAAGTCGTAAAGTGTCGAAGCGATGGATCTCAAATTCCCAAACACTTGTCAATCGTAAGAAGGCACGAAAGATTGTGATGCAGTCCCAATGAACCCTTCGAGGTCCAATTCAGTGACGTAGTCGATTAAGACACGCTTCTTCATTCATGCTCCATTTTTAAACATGATACAGTTCAGAATAAATCTCAAATTCCCAAAAATACACACAAAGACACTGGAATGGATGCTCCGAGGTCTAATTTAGTTATGGATGGTCAACAGAGCAGGGTTTACTCCGGCATACTCCATTTATAAACGTTGTAAAGCTCAAAATGAGTGTGAAATGGATCTGCTGACTTCCCAGATCTCAAACTCCCAAAAACAACATAATCACACACACTGAATGATCGGGGTGGCCTGAAGAGATGCTCTGAGGTCCAAGTCAATTAGAGAAAGCCAACTGAGGGGTGTTTAAAAAAGGTGTACAGTTCCAAATGGGCAAACAGATCTCAAACTCCCAAAATAAACAGAACAATATCAGGATGGAGTGAGGGGACGCTCCAATCTCTGGTTTAATGATCAACACTCCACCACGGCACGTTTCTTACCGTATAATCCATTTGGAAATGTCGCAAAGTTCAAAACAAGTGTAAAGATTACTCTCACATTCCCATCAAGAGCAGAAAATACACAGGAAAACACCAGGGGGGAGTGAATACAAGCTCCAGTCTCTGGTTTAATGATGGACAGGATTTCTTCCTGCGGACTCTGTTTATAAGAGTTAAAAGTTCAAAACACGGCTAGATGGATCTGAAATCCTCCCTGAACAGCCCTAATACACAGTTGAAGACGGTGAAGGAACTCTCCGAGCTCTGCTTCAGCGTCGAAAAGTCACCCGAGGAGCGTTTCTTCCTGCATTCCCCATTTGTAAAGTAAAAGTTTGGTGATTATGGTAAACACGCAGATCTGCTGGGTTACCGCACTGCCGGGCGCTGGAGGAGACGGTGAAGCGGGAGGTGAACGGAGTTAGGTCAGCTCAGCGGTCCAGTATTTTTAGCAGTGCGGTTTCTGGCCGAGCAGGAAGCGCTCAGAAGAAGAATAGCAGGAAAAGCGAACTCAACGCGCGGACAGACGCGCTCCAACGCGGCGGGAAGACACGCTCTATCACGGCGCGTCGTCGCGTTTCTCCGTCGATACCGACCACCGCAGATCCTCTTACAGGAGTTTGAGAAGTTCTGCCGGAGTTTGGCGTCTGTTGAGCGGGTGTGCGCGGCAGGAAGAGTCGCGGGCCTTTTCAAGACGCTGGAGTTTGATCGCGTCGCGTCGTTCTGGTGCCTCCGCGTTGGTGACGTTGATCCGTGCGCGCAGAAACGCTGTAAATGTCGGTGTGTCGAGAGCCCGTTTACCGTGAACTCTTCCCGTCTGTCCGGTAGAGGGTGGGACAGGAAAAGAATCAGATGATCGACTCTCCTCCTCCCTCTCCTGGCCACTGGCTGACTCCGACCGTGTGTGTGTGTGTGTGTGTGTGTGTGTGTGAATGTCAGACTCAGCGCTTTATGTTTACGGATAGGCTGATGCATTTCTTCAGTATTTCTGTAATCAACCATGCTATATTTTGTAAATAAAGTTCAATAGTTCTTTCAGTGTTTAGCTAACTTTCTATAATCGTATATAGGGGCAGATATAGTGTTCTGGGGGGCCCAAAGTTCTGAAATGCACCTTTTTAATGTATTTTTATTTGATTTATTTTGAGTTTGTTTTTCTTATATCACTCATCACTCCTTTTCTACATTTGTCTTAATGCAAAAATAATAATAACAACATGTAAAGGGCAACGTGGTGGTGCAGTGGGTAGCATGATCACCTCACAGCAAGAAGGTTGCTGGTTTGAGTCTCGGCTGGGTCATTTGGTGTTTCTGTGTGGAGTTTGCATGCTCTCCTCGTGTTGGCGTGGGTTTCCTCCGGGTGCTCCGGTTTCCCCCACAGTCCAAACACATGCGCTATAGGGGAATTGGGTACGCTATGTCCGTAGTGTATGAGTGTGTATGGATGTTTCCCAGTGATAGGTTGCAGCTGGAAGGGCATCCACTGTGTAAAACATATTGTGGAATAGTTGGCAGTTCATTCCACTGTGGTGACCCCTGATTAATAAAGGGACTAAGCTGAAAATAATATGAATGAAAACATGTTCAGCATCTTGTCAAACTTTTTTTATACATTTGCGCAGATGTAATGAACATTAAACATTTATTTTTTACACCCTCATCATAGAGAATATGACAGAAAACGATCTTATAGATCTATTATTGGTATAATTTATACTTATAGGTATTTATTTGCTAAATATTCTCTTTATTCTCTATTTCCACCTGGGGATAATCTTCCTGAGGCCCTCAGACCATGCAGCACCACTGAAGCGATCCAAAACCAGCGACAAGATGATCCCACGGTTTCCATAATCCTGGACCAGGCCGTATCCTGAGCAGCTGCTGTGGTGATCATGGAGGAGTGGAGAGCGTGAGACTGATCCCTGTGAGACTCAAGGTACAGAGTCTTCGCTGACGTCCAGTGTTCTCCAGCTTCCGGCGCCTAGACTGCAGCGCTCCACAAGACGTTTGGCCAGAGGAGGAATGGTCGTGCCCAACTGAGCCTGGTTTCTCCAAAGGTTTTTTATCCTTCACCTTTGCCCATTGGTGAAGTTTTTTTTTCCTCGCTGCTGTTGCCTTGGTTTGGGTCTTGTGGAGCTGTGCATGGATGGATCTGCTCTTCAGTGTTTGGACTCTCAGCAGTGAAGATTAAAGCGCACTGAACTGAACCACACTGTTTACATGCACTATAATACTCTATGTGAAGCTGCTTTGACACAATCTACATTGTAAAAGCACTATACACATAAAGATGAAATGAATTGATTATTTGGGGGCCCTCAGATTTCCTGGGTCCCTAAGCGGCCGCTTCTCTTGCCTAATGGTTAAATCCGCCGGTGTTCAGCATGCACTGAACAAAATAATCATTGCATTTACTCTAATCTTTCAGGGTAAGTTGTGCAAAACAGTTTAGTAAATCCAGTGCATCAGTGTTGTCAGCATGAGTGCCCCCTCAGGTGTTTTTCCATGCGGTAAAGCTGGCTTTGATTCACACATTTGGACTTTCTCCTGGCTCTGTCTTTTCCTTGTAGCAGCAATAATGACTGGAAACTCTGTTCAAAATGAAAATGAACTGTTTACTGAAGTTGGTAGCTGAATACTGAAACAGGCGCGCTGTCAGTAGCGCTTAATCACAGGAGAACTGTTCTCAAAGTAAAACAGCATATGTAAATGCAGAGGTGCATAAATCCACATGATGACGGCGATGAAACAATTAATGGAGCATTAATTAATCTGTCTTGCTGTTTTACATATAAATCAAGTCACAACGCTCTTTAATATGGTCTCAGATAAGTATTGTTTACAAACCCTAAATAGTGCAGTCATATTGTCCAGCCAATGACCATCAAGGTCCACCACTGTTCTCAGTCAATTAAACAGTGCTGATGCTGTGCTGAGAGAGCGAGCCACAAGCTCTGATCAAAAATGAAGCAATACAACGCCAACTCTACCTTAACTCTCCCAGCATTCTCCACCATGTTAGTATTCAGCAGAAGAGGAAACACTTGTGTGTGTGTGTGTGTGTGTGTGTTTTGCTTTGTTGTTGTTTCTGAGATAATAGTTGTGTTGTCCTGAGAGAACTGATGAATAACCTTAATAATATTTAAGGAGCTGTGTGTGTTAAGAAAACACACAGTGAAATACACACACACAGAAACAAAGATACACTCAAACACACACACACACACACACACACACACACACAGCAAAACAAATACACACGCACACTCTCACACAAGAAAACAGACTCATACACACTCTCTCATTCATTCACACACTTGCACACACACACACTCTCACAGACATAAACACACACACACACACACACACAACGTTCATTAATTCACTCACACACACTTGCAGTCTCTCTCACAGACATAAATACACTCATATTCACACAGAAACAAGTACACACTCATACTCTCTCTCTCTCTCTCTCTCTCTCTCTCTCTCTCTCTCTCTCACACACACACAGAGGCCTGAGTCATCATTTCTACAGGAAGGATGCAGTTGTTTATACAGTGTGTTGGTCAACTGAGCTTCTGACCGCTGCTGGAGAACGCACACAGACACACACAGACAGACACACACACACAGACACAGAGACACACACACACACACACACACACACAGACAAACACACACACACACACACACACACACACACACACAAATTCCCTATCAAGAAATGATAGAATAAAAGGTCAGGCCTCAGATCAGCTCAGAGCACATGAATGGGTCAAAGTTTGAGTGTAAAATATAAATATAATATATAAAGATCTGAAGCATCTCAGCAGTGGAGTTAAATTAACACTTCAGCCTCACACCTTCAGCTTTACACAGATCATTGCTCCTATTTAGACGTCTTAGCACTTCATTTGATTAAATTGTAGTGTACATTTCATTCACATGTTTGCTAGCATGTTTCAGTATCAATTAGCATGTTTTGTATTATGAATTAGCTAGTTTTTATTATGAATTAGCATGTTGACTTGTATGTTTCTAGTATGAATTAGCTAGTTTTATTATGAATTGACATGTTTGTTAGCATGTTTCTTCTATGAATTAGCTAGCTTTAGTATAAATTAACATGTTTGATAACATGTTTCTATTATGAATTAGCTAGTCTTTAGTCAGAATTATCATGTTGCTAGCATGTTAGTATAAATTATCATTTTAGGGTTTCTAGTATAAAATAGCTAGCTTTATTATGAATTTGCATTTTGCTAGCATGTTTCTATGATGAATTAGCTAGTTTTAGTACAAATTAGCATGTTTGATAACGTTTCTATTATAAATTAACTAGTTTTTAGTTCAAATTAGCATGTTGCTAGCATGTTTCTAGTACAAATTATCTTTTTTTTTAGTGTTTCTAGTATGGATAAGCTAGTTTTAACATGAATTATCAAGTTTCCTAGCATGTAACTATTATGAATTGGCCAGTTTTATTATGAATTGGCATGTTTGTTAACATGTTTCTATAATGAATTAGCTTGTTTTTAGTCGGAATTATCATGTTGCTAGCATGTTTCTAGAATACATTATCTTTTTAGTGTTTCTAATATGAATTAGCTAGTTTTATTAGCATGTTTATGAATTAGCTAGTTGTATTATGAATTGGCATGTTTGTTAGCATGTTTCTAGTAAGAATTGGCTAGATTTATTATGAATTAGCATTTTGCTACCATGTTTATGAATTAGCTAGTTTTATTATGAATTGGCGTGTTTGTTAGTACATTTCTAGTATGATTAAGCTAGTTTTATTATGAATTAGCATTTTGCTACCATGTTTATGAATTAGCTAGTTTTACTAAGAATTGGCATGTTTGTTAGCATGTTTCTAGTAAGAATTGGCTAGATTTATTATGAATTAGCATTTTGCTACCATGTTTATGAATTAGCTAGTTTTATTATGAATTAGCATTTTGCTACCATGTTTATGAATTAGCTAGTTTTACTAAGAATTGGCATGTTTGTTAGCATGTTTCTACTATGAATTAGCTAGTTTTAGTATAAATTAAGATTTTTTTTAACGTTTCTATGAATTAGCTAGTTTTAGTACGAATTAGCATGTTGCTAGCATGTTTCTAGTATGAATTATGTTTTTAGTGTTTCTAGTATGAATTAGCTAGTTTTTATTATAAATTAGTGAGTTTGGTAGCATGTTTCTAGTATGAATTAGCTAGTTTTATTATGGATTAGCATTTTGCTAACATTTTCTAGTATGAATTGGCTAGTTTAATTATGAATTGGCATGTTCTTAACATGTTTCTAATATGAATTAGCTAGTTTTTAGTATGAATTAGCATGTTGCTAGCATGTTTCTAGTATAAATGACCTTTTTAGTGTACCTAGTATGAATTAGCTAGTTTTTATTATAAATTAGTGAGTTTGCTAGCATGTTTCTAGTATAAATTATCTAGTTTTATTATGGATTAGCATTTTGCTAACATTTTTCTAGTATGAATTGGCTAGTTTTATTATGAATTGGCATGTTGTTAACATGTTTCTATTATGAATTAACTAGTTTTAGTATAAATTAACGTTTTTTAAAGTTTCTATAATGAATTAGCTTGTTTTTAGTACGAATTAGCATGTTGGCTAACATGTTTCTAATATAAATAATCTTTTTAGTGTTCCAAGTATGAATTAGCTAGTTTGCTAGCATGTTACTATTATGAATTAGCTTGTTTTAGTAGGAATTAGCATGTTTACTAGCATGTTTCGGTTATGAATTAGCTAGTTTTAGTAGGAATTAGCATGTTTGCTAGCATGTTTCTGTTATGAATTGGCTAGTTTATTATGAAGTGCACGCACACACACACACACACACACACACACACACACACACACACACACACACACACACACACACGCACACACACACAGGCTGAACGATGTCTGCGCTGGAGAGAATCAGGGCGAGAGAGTGGCGTACTGAAACCTCAAAGTTTATTTCACTCATACAAAAAAATGAGGAGAAAAGTTAAAAGCGAACAGACCTTCGCTCTCCACTTCACAGCAAACATTAAAAGAGTCTAAAAGGATAAAAAAAAAAACAACAAGGAGAGAAAGAAACAGGGATGTTCACAGACCACAGAGAGAGACCAGCGCGTTAAAACGACTAAACCAAAGCGAGTCTGCAGCCCAAATAAAAGAGGAGGAATTAAAAAGAGCAGCGCTGACACACTGCAGACAGCGCACCGTCCTACCTGCAGCTTCAGCCTCACGTCCAGTCCAAACATCTACACATGCTGGAATCAGCAAGCGTCAACAATATCAGACATGACTGAGGAGAGTAACAAGCATGAGGGAAGCACAATCATCTGGTGTCCACATGAACACTGGATCATACTGCTCCCCCTCCTCTTAAAACTCCCCTCAGCTTGACTCGGTATGTCTGAACACACCACACCATGGTGCACCTGTCCTAAAACACCTCCTGATTTCAGCAGGTTCAGATGTTTGGACTGGAAATGAGACCAATCTAAGTAAGAGCAGCACTGTGCTGTGCCGTGTGACGCTACACACACTGAAGAGACCAGCTTTAATTGTAAAACTAGCTTAAAAAGGACAAAAACCAGATCATCATCTTCATCATCTTCATCATCATCATGATCAAAGCAATCGGCAGAACCACAGCTCTGCATTTCCCAGACAAACCCAACTGAAGCAGCATCTCTCCTGCTGAAATAAAGAGGAGGGCGAGCGGAGTGATGCCCAGACGGAGAACAGAAGACGTGCAAAACCTACAGCCCAACACACTCCTGGGGTCCGATCCCAAACACAAAGCACTGATAAAACAAGAGGAAGAGGAGACGATAAAAGAAGATTAAAAGAAACTTAAAAAGGGTCTGCTGGAGACGCCGAGCTGCTGTCCACCGCAGAGCACCAGCAGAGGAGCAGGAGAGGAAGAGGAAGGGGGATGAGGAAGGGGAGGGGCTAGGAGTCGTAGTCTTCATCATCGTCCTCCTCCTCGGCGGCTGGCGGAGCGACTGCAGGCGGCAGGAGACTCACTGACACTGGAGGAGTTACAGAGGAGACCTGCGGAGACGACATGCCCACACTGACAGAGAGAGACAGAGAGACACAAGGTTATTATAGACAACACATTACTAAACGCGCGCACACACACACACACACACGAATTTGCACGCACACACATGCACCGTAAATATCTGTCACATGCAAAGTGTACATTATGCTAATCAGCAGACAAACACAAATATATATATATATTAGAGCTGCACAATCAATCGTTAAATATCACAATCTCGACTCGACTCCCTAGACGATCTTAATCCAGCCTTTCTACGATTCTGTCAATCATATTTTCAAGTTCAGGAGAGAAGAAAAGGCGGCTGCGCGAGTCTTTTCATTGTTTCACACACGTTGCTCAGTGACACTGACACCTCCAAATGATGTGGAATGAGTCACATACTGTATTAATAAGGTATAATTCACCTAAAAATGTCTTTTTTGTCTTCATATAATGATGTTTTCGCGATCGGGAAATCACACGTAACATGAGCTGCTGACAGTGAGCTGTTATCACAGAGAGGGCGCGCGTGCGCTTTACTTAATGATAGACACGTACGCGTCTACTTTAGTGAACAGAACCTGCATGTGTTGCGAGTAACAGGTAATAAAGTTGTAAATAATATTCAGTTTGTGGCACAGAGTGATCGTTTGGGAGCCGCGCGAAGTATGAACAGCACTTAGCAGTCAGAATGAAACTGAAAGTGTGCACTTCATTTAAATGATCATATCGCATTGTAGAGTTATGATTACGACAAGCATTTGATATGTTTTATCTTTCATAGCGAACCCACAGTTGTGCATGAAAATAAATGTTTACAGTGTCAGTATAACTACTCTAGCCTATATATTGTTGAATATAATCTGATAATGGCAAATGTCTGATTTGACCAGTGAATAAAATAGTCTAATATGAGAGATTGCAAGCATAAATCTCAAACATAATAATTCAACATCAGAATTATTATAAGTAGAATTATTTATAGAAACCAGTAGACCTACACTTAACATTATTATCGAGGTTGTGCCTTATCCTTGTTTTTACCATACCTTTATTTTACATCTACAGAACCATGAGAAAATCCTGATCTTTATTTTAAGCAGAAATAAAATAAAATTTGCGATTCTCATTTTAGCCAGAATCGTGCAGCTCTACTATATTAATATATTAGAGCTACCGCGGTACGTAGTTGGTGTATAGCAATAGTTCAGTTCATTTTGTAATATCTCCTAGTAGCAAAGAATTCTGGCCCAGATTTGGTATAAAGCTGGCACAGCAGGCATTCATCCGGCACTGGCATACAGCATGTGGGCCAAACATGGCCCGGGTTTGGCAGAGGTGGCACCGTTTTTAAGGCGGCACACAAGATTTGGGCCAGATGAAAAACGTAGTATTTGGCCCAGATTTAAAAATGTGATAAGTGGGCCATGTGAGTTTGGCCAGTCGTGACCCACATTTAAAATACACTAAAATCATTTTTGAGTAAAGAAAAAAAATTCTACCAATCAGGTCACTTTGAGAAAAAGCGTGCCCATAGTGTGCCTAAAGCGCATCACTCCATGGGTTTATCAATTTCATTGCTGTCGTGACACACCAACCTATCTGGCCCAGTTCAGGCCCAGTTATGAGTTATTAACTTGGCTGAGACTTGGCCCAGATATGGTTTGTGTTTGGCCCTTGTCTGGAGGCCAGATTTGGTCCAGTCATGTACCGTAATTCACTGCGGCATGTGGGCCAAGCAAAACCTGATTGTGTGGGCCAGAGAAATGTTGCTATGTGGGTCGTTACACCTCTAGTGCTGTAACTGTAGTAGTACGGTGCAAGTTGCGTGTCTGTGCGTGTTGCATCTATGTTGATGCAGCATAAGTTGTGTGTCTGTGTGTATTTGTCTGTGTTGTACCTGTGGTAGTATGGCGCAGGTTGTGTGTGTGTGCTGGTGCGGGATGCGTCTTCATCCTCTTCTCCTTCTGTCTCACTGTCCTCTGAATCATCCTGAACACAAAACATCACAATCATCACACACACACCTCATTAACACGCAACCATCACACACATCTCATTAACACGCAACCATCACACACATCTCATTAACACGCAACCATCACACACACCTCATTAACACGCAACCATCACACACACCTCATTAACACGCAACCATCACACACACCTCATTAACACGCAACCATCACACACGCTACATCAACACACTTAACAAGCCCAATATTTACTGCAGACAGACACACACACACACACTTCATTAACACACTCAACTAACTCAAAGTTTATCCCAGACGCACACACGCACACACTAAAAGTTGGTTGACACGCACAGTGTCATATATATACGCAGTGTTTCCTCTAGGATGTTCTCCAGCTGTGGTGGCAGGCCTTTTACACAGATCCACCTCCTACCTGTGGCGTTATTGCAATGACAAATGGAGAAATGTCATGAGAGCACTTATGTAATACGAGCATGCGAATCTCTTTGCTTGCGCGCCAATTGCCTCTGCTCGTGCACAAAACGTCTTGCACGCCGATAAACATGAGATAATGCCATCGAGTGAGTGCTTCAGGCTCGCAGTACACCATCAACCAATAGACTTGCTTTAAATCATCCAAATGGCAGCGTCAGCGCATTCATTTGCTGGAAAAAGCCACTCAACACTGCTGGCCTTTGACAGCAAAAGCCCATATATCCTGAAAACCAATCAGAAGGCGTGAATGGGATCATGTGTTCACTGTAGCAGCGTGCTGATACGCCGGCTTTATCAGGAGACTGATTTATTCAGCTTTCCATTTTGATTTTGATGAGCTGGATGAGGCTGTCAGTGAATAGCAACTGAAAACGTCTCTTACCTCAAAACTCTGAGCATTATAAGAAACAGTGTGCAGGCGGGAGTGTAGCATGCATTCATAATGTGCTTTTGCACAGAGATGCTACTTCACATGAGTCTGATTTACCATGCATTAAACAGCAACTGTGTTTCCCGAAAGACAGAGTTATGATGCTGACTTTTATCCCACGTGGATGCTCTGAGGATAAACAAGAGAGCAAGACCCTGAGTATAGTGAGAATGAATGAATGAATGACAGCTTCTGGAAGTGTCTGAGAGGCTTTTTGCCCAGTAGAGCTACCCGTTTTATTTGCTTAATTTAGCTTCTTCTTTTTTTTTTTTTAAAGATAAAATACATTATATTACCTATACATTCAATTCAGCTTTATTTGTATAGCGCTTTTACAATGTAGATTGTGTCAAAGCAGCTTCACATAAATGGTCATAGTAACTGGATCAGTGGCTGTTTCTCAATATGTGTTCTTCAGCGGTCTTGCGTCCTCGTGCAACATCATCATCAGCTGCCTAAGTTCAGTTCCAATACTCAAGACCACAAGTACGGAGGACGCGTGAAACTTCCCGGATGTGTTCTTGATATCGAGGACGCACCGATGCAGACTTGAGCACCGAACTCGGTCTGGAAGTCCCAGAAGTCATTGCGACTGGAGGTGAGAAGCGCTGCATTTTATCTAGATTTATTATTAAAGTTCAGAGATATGAACTATTTACCTCAGGAGTTTCCCTAAATGAAACGGTGAAGGTAAACATTACCATGGACATCTTAATAAAGGAATAAACACATTAAGGGTGTTTGTTTGCTGAAATTCGTATTAAAATCTGTTTTATTTATATTGTGCAACATATATTTAAAATGTTTTATGCAAAGTATATATTTTGAAAAGGGGAAAACAATAAATCGTTGTATGAAGGCTGTAATGCTTAAATAATTTACCATTTAAAAAAAACACGTGAAGGTCATGTGACCATCAGGAGGAACGCAGCATCTCATTTCTCAAAGGACGCGTTCTCTGCCCTCGCGGTCTCCTGAGTTCGTTCTTCCGAGGACACCTGGCAAGACCGCTCTCCACAAAAACACAAGTCCGTTCTCTGCGTTCTTGGAATTGAGAAACAGCCGGTGTGGTTCAGGTTTTAGTGTTTAAGTTCAGTTCAGTTCAGTTTAGCTCAGTTCAGTGTGATTTAATCATTACTGAGAGTTCAAACACTGAAGAGCAAATTCATCGATGCGCAGCTCTACCAATCCTGAACCATGTGAGCCAGTGGCGACAGCGGAGAGGGAAAAAAAACTTCACCAATAGGAGAGTGAGGAAAAAACCTTGAGAGAACCAGACTCAGTTCAGCACGACCATTTTAATTTCTCCGCTGGCCAAAAGTCTATGAATCTGATACGCTTTTATATTATTGGACAATGCACAGATATTGATGTTTCACGGTGTTTTACACTACATTATTTGAATCTACCAAGCTTAGTTTACAATGTTTACATAGCTCTACTGACATTACATCTAAATCCCAAATCAGAGCTTTGCATGAACCCGACGGGTTCAGGTTTAATTTCTATCATTTTAGACGGGGTCGGGTCGGGTCGGGCCGGGCCAGGCTTGCGCAGTAAAAGAATAGGGATGTGATGCATTTCGTAAGTAATTAAATCTTTTATTACAACGTTAAAATCCATCCCTGCAAAGGTGAAAAAAGATGACGGAGAAGTTAAAGCGAGGGAATTTTGACTGCGGCCAGGCCTGTTCAGAAGGAACCTGTCATTCAAGGTATTTCGGCAGTTGCTCATACACTGCGCATTACGGTAGAGCGCTAACGAGCACCGCAAGCTGACAGGTGACGAGGCGACTCGCTACACTGAAACTGCCGTCAAGGAAAGTTAAATGGAGGTTCCTGTCAGGTGGAAGATGAAGAAACAATCCTACCTAAAACATGCTGAATTAGCCAGATCAGAAGTCTGCATGTCGGCCTGTAGCCGCAGCAGCAGCAGTGAAAGGGTGTTCAGCTGCTGGACGCACCATCCTGAGCGCTGGACTGCACTAAAGACATTTACAGTGGACTCAACAATGTTCCTCCACAGAAACATGTAGCCTAATCTTGCTGAGTAAAGCGTTTTATAATTATAAATAAATATTAATTAAACCATATAATTATAATGTAGACAGTATACAGGCATTATTCTTTTAATATTCATATCTTTTGTCAAAACACACTTTTAGTTTGGATGTGATGTTTTTTACCCAGGGGAATGGCGGATTTGGAGTATGCGTACTGGGCTTGTTTTTGGGCTAGTACTGCTTTGCAAACCTGGCAACCCCTGTGTGTTCCCCCAGTGCATTGTGGGATCTGTAGTGTGATTAGTGAGCGCTGCTGTACCTCCTGCTCTGATTCGGTTCCTGAGAGCTTCTTGTCTTTCCCCTTCGCTCCAGCGCCGCCGTTCTTACGGCCCGATCCCGGCTTACGGCCTCTGAATACACACAGACACAGATTTAACACACACTGCAGCACACACTGAAGCATCATCAGAAGACGCTGACACACTCACGGTTTATGACTGACGATGGAATTGGAGGAGAACACATAATACAGAGTCCGACGTTTATAAATGGTCTATTATTAGTCCTATAGGCAGCGTTGGGGAGACGCATTACAACCAACGCAAGTTACCTAATAATGTGACTCTATTAAGTAACGAGTAAAGTAATGCATTCCCTTTAATAAATGAAGCTGCAATATTGGAGTTACGTTGAGCGTTTTAACTAAATAGCTGAATTAAAGGAGCGCTGAATCCGGCACTGATGAGGGAATGC